GGGGGGAGGGGAGACAAGATGGCGGCGGCGGTAGAGGGGCTGAGGCGGAGGTGAGGCGCCGCCGGACCGGGCCGCCCGCGTTGCTGCATGCCGGTAAGGCGGCGGGGTTGGGCGCGGCGCCGTGCCTCACTCCCCGGGGGCGCCCTGTGTCCTCCTGCGCGCGGGGCGGGGGGCGCCCTCCGGGCCGGGCATGGGACCGCCGGGGCATCCCCTCCCCCTCCCCCTCCGAGCTCGGTGGTGCTGTCAAATGTGGACCCCCCCCTTCCCAAAAAAATAATAAAAAAAAAATCCTTAGTGCAAGAAGTACGGCCCGTGCCGGGGCGAGTTTCATTTCCTTATAATTATATTCGTTAATTGCTGCGTTGAGTTTTGCTCCGATGCAGAAAGGAGGGGGGGCGAGTCGGAGAGGGTCCACGCAGGGCAAGGGCAGTGAGACATGACGCGCGGGAGAGGCAGAGGGGACCAGGCCAGTTTATAATATGGGTTTCATAGACACTAGGGCTGGGAGGGAGCTCGCTGCATTGTGGGGTCCAGCCCCGGAAAGGGGACTCATCCCGGGGAGAGAAGACTGAGGGGAGTTGAATTGTGGCCATCGACTCCCTGTGGGGGGGGCATGAAGAGGATGGAGCTGGGCTGTCCTCAGTGGGGGCAGGTGACAGAGGAGCAATGGGCTCACGTTGCAGTAAGGGAAGTTGAGGTTGGATATTAGGAAACACTAAGAGGGTGGTGAAGCACGGAGAGAGCCATCATGGGTGACCCAGAGTGGTGCTGGACTCTCCATCCTTGGAGATGTTTAAGAGGTGGCTGGAGAGCCTTGGCTGGGATGATGCAGTTGGGGCTGGTCCAGCTTGGAGCAGATGTGACCTCCTGGGTCCCTTCCAGCCCTCATTTTCTATGAGTCTATGAATAATTGGCACTTAGTGTGTTAAAATATCAAGTGTATGCTGGTGGGTGTACACACGGGCCGCTGTCCATTCGGAACTGGGTGTGCAGTAAGGAAAGGTTTGGGAACCTCTGCTTTAGCTGTCTTTGGTCTCCATTCCTATGGCCCAAAATTAAAAGGGGGGTGGAAAAAAGGGATAGATAGTCAACAAACATTTCTGTTATCACTAGTGGCAAGTATTGGTTTTCATCGGCAGCAGCCCCTCGATTGGAAGATGATCCGCGCCTCAGCTCATAGAAGGGTCTTGGGGTGACTGCAGAGTCCAATCTTGGAGCCCCAGACCCAGCCGCAGAAGCTGCAGGTCTTTCCGCTGGGGAGGGGAGGCTGTAGGCTAGGATTTGGTTTTCCCCTCACTTTTTTCATGGGGTAGCATTTCAAACCTGAGAGGCTGCAGATAACTGCTGGAGCTGAAGTAGGAGTTTTAGGGAGTTTTAAAAAGTTATGTATTACTTATTTATGTAATCAGTACAGGCTTCTGTTTGTGAGGAAGAGTTGCACAGTGTTGTGGAGCTGAAGAGGATTTTGCATTTGTTTTATTTTCTGTTGTGGGCTTCCATTTGTGAGGCAGAGTTGCACAGTGTTGTTTTTGCACTGGGTTTCCTTATCGTACCGTGTGACAGTGCCAAACAGCCATCATTTGGCAATGGCTGTGGTGTAGGAGCCTGAATGAAGTTGACCCTGTGGGTATGTTCCAGTTGCCTGTAATAAGGACTAGGTCAAAGGCTGTTGGGTTTATACTGCTGTGTACAAACTCAGTGTTCTGCCACTACTCCTTAACTAAACAGTCATGAGCCTTGGAGAGGAAGTATAAAATATTTGAAGTGGATTTCTAGTCAGCTGAAATCTAGTTTATATGTTAGGGGATGGGAGAAGTTGAAGTTTATTCCTGGGCAGAGAAAATTTAGAAGCATGGAGCCTCTTAGCTGTTCAGGGGCAGTTTTGGGAAGATGTGGTTAATTTTTCTTGCTGCACTGTAGTGTAGAAGCCTATACTTTTCTATGAAGTAAAAAGTTTGATGTAAATACATCTAAGAAGATACAATATACCCTGTTCTTTTGAAAGTGTATGATATTTCAGGAAGAGCATAGACCAACTGGAGATGCTTCCTCAGCCTGACAAAGGGTCTTTGTACCCAAAAGCTTGCAAAGAAGAATTTTTCCAACTATCTGAGTTGGTCTAATAAGAGATATCAGATTTACCCAAATAACCTTGTCTGCCTTTTGCATGACATTTTTCATTAATGCATATTGAGATGTATTACTGATGCACAGGAGCGAGCATCATTAGGCGCTTTTTTGTCGTTGAGTTGCAATTTATATTTAGAAATAAAGAGAACACTTCAATTGAAGTGTTCATTTCCTGTTTAGTCCCGTGTATTTGGTTCGTTAGAATCCAATCCAATCCATAATAGTTGAGCAGAATTGCTTTGAATGTATTATGACGGCTTTGTTCTAGTTTAATAGGTCAGAATATACTGTATTCTTCTCTGCTTTCTTAAGAATATAGTCTAAGCATGCTCAAAACTCAAACAAAATACGTTGTCAACCTTTCAAAGTCATCTTGGCTTAGAGCGAAGTCTGATGCAAGCTTTTCCGTATTTGATATTTTAGTGCTGTATGTAGTAAATTTCAGAGGATGAAGAGCTCGGAGTGGCTTCAGGTTCTATAGCTGTCCCTGTACCTCCTTCCCCTGCTCCCCTGTTGTGGTTTTATAATTGCATCTTCCTCTTTTCTTAAAATATTTATCTTCCCTGTTATTGTGTACATGAGACATGCTTGTAAACAGGGGAAAGCTGACTTCAGATGGCTGTCAAATGAGAAAGTAAACAGTGAAAGAAAATATTTTTCTTCTACCTTTTAAGTTACAGTAAAGTTACATGCTACTTTCACATAAAGTTTTTTGTTTGTATGAAGTTGCTCAGGTAGTTCTCTTTTCAGTGTTGCTCTTAACTCCCTTTTTAAAATTAGTACCATCTAGTCTTTTTTTTTTTTTTTTTTTAAAAGCTCCAAGCCATTTTTATTTGTCTTTAGTCAGCCTTCCCTTTTGTTTTAGTGCTTGCTTTCTTGTGTGGCCAGGATATAACTAAGCTTTTATTACACAAAACTTATTTTAAAATTTAAGTATTGCTGAAGTGGAAATTGAAGCATTATGCATGCACAGTACAATTGTTAGCAAAGGCTGCTAACCCAATAATAGTTTCATAATGTGAAGAATCATTTCCTGGATACTAATCTCGCAGTGTTGAACTCGCTTGTGAAGTCTAGTCAAATCTGAACCAATGTCACATGAAAAACTAAAAAGTTAACTGTAGGTGCCATTTAGTCCCTTTACTGTCAGTGAAGCAGATGAAAATCCTGACCTATGCACATTGCTGTCTGTAAATATTTAGGTTGGGCTATTTCTAAATTATGCAAATAGTCAGGAATGTGTGGAATACATTTCCCACTTATAGTCTAACTCCCTCTGCTTCTCTGGCTGGTGATGGTGCTGTGTGATGCTAAAATCCCTTTGCTGCTGTAATTTCTAGCAGTTGTTCTACTGAAACAAGCCTGAGGTCATGTGGACCCTGTGGAGTTTCCATTTGGAGTGTTAGCCTGCATGCTAATAATTTCAGTTTACCTTGGAGCCAAGTACCTGAGGATGCCGAAAGGAAAAACATACATGTCCTTGAATCACTCTGTGTCCAAACCATGCAACCAGTGGTGCCACTCCCAGTCTGATCTGATATGATGTGTGTGTTTCTCAAGGCTTGAGGAGGATGTTGGTCAATGTGGTTTTTAAAGTGACTGACTCCTCCCCTTTATGACTTTGATGGTTATTGCAAAATTGAGTCCTTATATCTGTATGAAGGTGCACCTGGCAACATCTGAAAAATCCTATTGTGCAACAGCTTGGAACAAGTCAGAAACTGCGTACAGGCAAAACACTAATGCCTGTACAAGCTGCTGACCAGGATGCACAAATCCTGGGTTCAATGACTGATCAACAAATACCAGGCTGAAAATAAAAAATAGTTATCTTTCTCATAGCCTTTTTAACACTTAGAAAAGCAAAGGGACTATCCAGGAACAGAACACTTGCCTATTTTGGTCTTTTGAGGTTTTCTTAAATTCTTCTTTGCTTCCATTCTGCGAGTTGTATCTCATGTTGTACTTCAGAGGAAGTGCATTTGGTTAATTCCGTCTAAAAGCCATCCTGGAGTGATGTTGAGATGTATGCATCCCTTGGGGGAAAGAGTGGAAAATAAGCCCTATATAGTTATCCTGCGGTAGGGAAATTGATTTTGATACACTGTGGATTGCAGAGTTAAGGAAGTTAGTAGAATTCCAGGAGAGAACTTGAAGCTGCTTTCATGAAAGGAAACAGCTTTCCGATCCATTTATGAAAGTGTTCTCATTTCATAACAGCTGATGTTTCCTGTGCCTGAAGGGTGATTGCACCTGAAAGCTTGCAAAGAACTTTCTTCCAACTACTCAGTTGGTCTATTAGAAGATATCACATCTACCCAGAGAACCTTGCCTGTCTATGTCCATAGACCAACATGGCTAAAACAAAAAACCCAGTTCTCATTTCAGGGTAGCTGGCTTACAGAGTAAAGTGTTTTAATTTGTATCGAGCATTGGATTAAATAGTTATTTCTTCATCTTACATGTGGGAAGTTATGGATACTGGTTTTATTTAGAAGCATTAGAAGTTTAAGTTTTATAGTTTCACTACAGCTTTAAAGCATCATTCAACAAAATAGTGGGTAGAGTTGCAGAGCAGGTTGTGGTTATGTACCAAATTAACAGTACTAGAGTTATGAAAACATTCTGGGGAAAAGCACACTGTAGCGGGTTTGGGGGTTTGCTCAGCCTTTACACTTCAAACAATTCATTATTTCCTGGGCATATTTGCCTCTCAGGAACCATCATCAACATAAGTCAGTACTCATTAAGTTGACATAGCCCTTACAGGGTGCACTCACAGTCCTGATTCTACTGTGGCCCCAAGAAGATGCCTCCAGCTCATTGCTGCTTCCTCCTCACTGTAGTCTCTTTTCTGCCTGCCCTGACTCCAGTCCTGTAGGGGTGCAGCTGCTTCCAACTTCGCAGTCTTTAGACCCCTTGAGACTCCTCTTTCCTTCCTGTCTATCCCTGGGAGTCTTTTA